AGCCGATTTTTAATCCATGTTACACGAGACAACTTTTGACGCAACTTTGTTGCGGCAGCGGTCGGCAACGGTATGTTTCACGAGGCCTTTTGTAACACAAATGCAAATTCAGGCAACAATTTTGCAAGTTTTTGAATTGCTTTCAAAAACCTGCAACATGTTACCGCAATGAGATGTTGCGTTAACTAGGGCCTAGAAAACTACTTTATTTTTTCCCTTGCTTTCAATGACGCTGGGTATCGGAGACTGAAATGATTATTATGGAACATAAACGATTCTAAAAAGAGAGATTTAAGGGAAGTATCTGTTCTATTCATAGAAAGGGTTGCTGAGTTTCTCTAGCTCCGTATTCGGTGCTATGCTTGAATCTCTATCAAAAGTGTCTCGTTATTAAAGTATTGTCGTCGCATGATAGAGAACCAAGACTCCCTTTGGTGTAATAAAAATCTATATAGTGAATATTTAAAAGAAAATTCATGTTGGCATAACGGTAGGTATATGTCAAGTCGTCCACATTAGGTTCCAGGGAGACTCCAAATGCTGGTAAAAGTAGACAAAAAATGTTACATTAGATTTCAATTTGTCGGAGTATTAGCTCAGAAAATATTGAATAGCAGACAGCAGTAATTGTTTTTCTCTGTTTCCCCAGAATCACTGATATCCAGTGCGCATTTATATTTTAGCGATAGAGCACTTTTTCAGTGATTGCACAGCCTCATCTAAACAGGAGGGAGGTTCGGAGAATTCCAGACAGTTCTGCAAACCCGACACGCAGTCGAGGATTTGCATATTTGTCTCGAATTCTCCTAACCCCTCAAGTGTTTAAATAAGGCTATGTAAACACGGAAAAAGTGCTCTATTGCTTTTATAAAATATTTCGCAGAAATGCGCGCGAATCTAAAACGTCGCAACCATGTTTACGTTCTCTCATCTAAACACAACTATCGACGAATGAACGCGCGCGTAGTATCTCACGCATTTTATAATTAGCAATCTTAACAGGTCATATCACTAGATTTATGCTAGCTTCGTTCATGTAGATTACCAAATTAAGTACATAGTTTTGTCACCATGTTTCATACATCTTGCAGAATAGCACATATTTACATTTCTGCGGGAATTACTGTTACAACTAGCACAGAAATATGGGCCAAGACAGGAAAACGAGTTTCTTCACAGAACTTGATGGAAAACAGCACGACCAATGATATAACTATGCCAACTTCTCCTCGATTTCTTCGTCTACGCTTTAATCAGCCACAACTAGAAGACGCATGAAACTGGACCAGATGTCCTCACAGACTATGACACGAACGGTCAATGGCGACAGGTTGTGAGCCAATTTTCTCAGGCTAGCATTCCATGTAAGAATTACTTACCATTCTATTTTTTCCCTTGCCACCATTTCAAAGCAGCTAGACGTTCCGCGGATTTGACGCCAGTAACTATGGAATCACGAAAACAAGAATAATTACGAAATAACAAAAGTCAGTTATCACTCGCTTAACCTCGTTCCTCGATGTCGAGAAGTAATTGTTGTTTGCGTTATTACGCTACACGGTTGGCTTAAAAAACTTGCGCCACTTTTTCATCCAATCAGAAGTAAAATCGAAACCAATCGTGACTCGCTGGCACTCGTTTTCCCGCGCTTTGCGTCAGCTACTTGTATTAGCTTTAAGTTTTGATTTGTTTACTGGATATTCTCTGTCCTTTTTGATTGGCTAAAGTGATTACATTGGCTTTGGTTCTGTGACGTTCAACGCTCAGTTCTAACGATGCCAGCCAAATTGTCCCGCGTTTAGAAAAGAAGCTCAACAACTCTGACCGAATTGGTGGCTTGACTACCTTCAAAACTATGGCCTGCTTGCAAACATCCATGTCCTCGCCTGTCTGAATCTTTTCTTGTGACATGCGAATCAGTTGACCTACGTTGGCTTCAACAGTGAAAGTAAACTGTGTCGGATCTTATTAGTCGGCTCGACAGCTAGGCCGGCCCCTGCTGGGAGTTTTGCCACTAGACTTCCCATGGGATGGTACCCCATAGCAAGTTAACCCCCCTCCCCCCACCGTTTTCTGTCAGCTTGCTCAAGAATTCACCGGTATCCATTTTTATTAAAAACTGGATCATTGGATAATGCATTTCAAGAGTTTTCATTCAGCTTAGCCATGATGGTATGTGGACCATTATACCATACTCCACAAATATGATAAGCTTACGCGTATTTTTGGGGGTGTTTTTGTTTTTAGTTTAGTTTAGTTTTCTATATTTTCTATAGGCGTTTTTGATAAAACAAGTATTCCACTCGCGCCTGTTGGACATCAGATGATTATAGCCAACTCGACGCTACGCCCCTCGTTGGCTATCTGTCATGATATCCAACGCGCGCTCGTGGAATAGTTGTTAAATACACCTGGGTGGAGATAGCCACTATAAAGAGTATAGTGTCTTGTCCAAGGATGCCAAGAAAACAGGACAGGGATCCTCGATAGTGCCACCACGCCTTTCACGGCGAGTACATATCCTTCAGTTTTACAAATGAAATGCTTACCAGCGTAAACAGCATTCCTCCATCGACCACCACAAGACTCAAACTCTTTATCAGTGAACTCTACCGGTTCATCCGGGGTTCTGCATTTAATATTACATTCACTATCATCAGCGCGACCATACTTGTCGTAGTCGTTGCCACAGAAACAAAGATCGCCATTTTGAAAACCGGCATAAAGGAAACCTTTGTCCCCACACTGATCAATACAGTCTTGTTTTGTATCAAAATGCTCCACTTGATATCCTAGTGCTCGGGGATTCACCAGGCGAAAGTTGTCGTCCAACATTTTGTCGTCAATGTAACAACCGATCATGTCTGTAGAATAAAAAGTAAAAGAGAACACGATTAGAGAAGAAAACGGGTCACGCATTAGGAACTTAGACGAAGCCGTTGAGATTATTCTCGCCAACAATCTTGCTTCAGATCACTCCGAATTAAAGGGCAAGCAGGTCACATATTAGGAGATTAGACGAAGCCGTTGGAAGTTTTCTCGCAAACAGTCTTGCCGCAGATCACTCCCCTCCCCTATCCCCAGAATTTTGTCAGGTTGCTAGACAACTCACCAGTACACATGCCTACACATGGAAGGGAGGGGGGAGGGAGTGTGTGGTGCGAGAGCAGCCTGGAACACTACGCAAGAACAAGACGAATGCTTCTGCTTAGCAGCCCAACAAGAGGTGCATCGCCCAGTTTCATCCCTGGCACCCAGGGCATCCCTTCCAATTTAAAGACAAATGCGCCTGGGACGAGGCCTTAGGTCTCAGTAGTAAACAGCCAAATCTTATAACCTATTTCCGAGTTGCCTTAAGCCTCTCTATCAAAGGGAGGCCTGCATGGTGCAAAACCATTGATATGAAATTGAGTTTGATTTGCTTGTGACTGAAATCTCATTATCATACGAAAAGATGGGCACCAAGATTCGCCTATAAAAAGAGGCTAAAGGTGATTCGAAAATTTCCTAGACTTCGACATTTACCTCTAAGCACGAATACATTTATGAAGCAGGACATTTGATAGAAACAAAATTCCTTGTCACATGAATACGTTTATAAGCTTTTGTTCCTTGGCTGGGGCCGTCAATAAACCAGCCGGAACATAATTAAGCAAATGATAGCTCATCTCCGAGAATGAAAATGTAAGTGTTTCTGCAGCCCCACACACCATTCCATTAACTTAAATGTTACCTGGGTTTGTGTCCACTTCTTCTGTGTATACGTAGGAATGTGCTAAACCTGGTTAAAAACAAAAGTGGTACCTGTTATGTGGCCACAATAATAACCTTTCAACCATAGAGTGGGGTCGATCATTTTCACTTCTAAAATTACACGGCAGTCTTCGCTTCAACGCGGGTTTTAAACACTCAACAGCTTAGACATAGTCACTACTTTCGCTTTTTCATGCACTCAGTTAAAAAAAAAAATATTCGTAGAATTCTGCCGAAATTAGAGGGTTTTTTTCCTAAAAGAGTAAACACCAGGTACCACAAGGTGATATAAATTTTCAAAATTTTACCGGCGACTTCGATTTAATGTTCGTTAAGGCTTTTATTCCATGACCAGAGGGGCAAACTTTGACGTTTTGCCAACTCCACGTCAATTTCAGCTACACTTAGTAAATCATTGAATGAAGTAAAGAGCGTAGAATTGCTAATAAGAAATCTTAGATTACGCACCGATTAAAATGAAGACTCCAAGAATTAGGCCTGAAAAATAAAACAAAATCCATGAAAAATCTGCAAAGTACAAACGAGCAGTGAATTTGGCGTTGTTGCAATAAAAGGGCTTACCTAAAATTCTTGGCAAAAGCATTTTGAATCTTGGTTTCCCTTCGAGAAAATTAGACTTTCCCGTGGAGAAGATGGCCTCTGTTACCTGGTTACCTTGATTCACTATTAATGAGCTCAAGCCAATGACGTTATGTCCACCAATTAGGGAAAAGCAAGTTTCAACCCTTTGTTGGGTTGGTGTTTAACTTATAGTGCTTGTTAATGAGCTAATTCCACAATATATAGACTACGAGAAAGAGAGAAAATTCAGTTTGAACCGGGGGCGATTCGAAGATTGTTTGTTGCGTTATTTGGACTTTCATTGTCTAAAGTCACGAGCCGTGGAAATTGCCGTGAAATTAGTAGAGTCTCCACTTCAAAACAGGAAAAATTGAAGTTTCAGGGGTCACTGATTCTAAACAAAAACTTAGAGTTACTGTTTTGTGGCAACACCAAGCAATTAGCGAAGAATAAACATGTTTTGCTTCTTTGAAAGCCCATTGGTTTTCATTCGCGCGTGGAAAATTCTTGTTCGGTTCAATGTCTCCAGAAAGCTTAACTAAGACCCTTGCCTCTATTCAGATTTCGGTTTCTTTTTTGATGAAACAGTGTCATATCATTTCACAGCTACATTTTGCTGGTAACCGGTAGGTTTACCTGCCAAATGTGACACCGTGAGGTAAATGATATTTTGTTGTGACAGTTTTTGTTGAGTAAGAATAATAGCAAACCTTTAAAAAGCCACTGATCTCTATGATTTGTGTGTTTTGAGTCAACGTAGAAGGAAACTTTGTTTGCGACGAGGCTGGTATTTCACAGTTTTGTCATCTTAACTCAGAAGGGCCTTCTGGGGAACGGTAGAACTGTTTAGTGGAAAGAAAATGTGTCCATGGTTAGATTCACGGCCTGCTGAGCGCGTATACGCCACAACCTTTAGCTATTTAATGTACCAGTATCAGTTGAGCTATAATTTCCCAATTCATCTGACGGCTAGAGTATCCTGAATTAATGCGTTTGCAACTGAGAAATCTTGTGGAGAAGGGCCTTTTGTATGACGGTTTTCAAGTTAAGGTCAACTTATAAGTGTCGTACTTAAATGTTTTTTTTTTTGGATCCTTTGGAGGAATTAGTGACGAGTCCAAAGGGCGTCCATGCAGGTTGGAGTCTAGGGATTGCACATCGGTGAATTCGATGAAATGTGATAACCACTATGCGAAAAAAAAAGTAGAAAAAAAAAAAAAACGTTACGTACTACCAAACAGGTTATAATTATGGCTAAAAATGTATACTTCAAACAATCATAGTGCCCTAATTTGCATCGTTTTCTCCTGTTCTTTAACATCTCAAAAATCATCAAAACCTCTTGAGGTGTCCGGCGTAGAGCCCTTACGACTACAAACTTATGACAACCATTTTAGCCGGATTACATGAATCTGAAAAGAGAGAACTGGAGAACAGTTAATTTTGATTTAGACTAGGTAGTCATACGGTTTCGAGTTCAATTTGGAATTAATTTGCACGAGTGAGTTTTTCAAAAGGCTGAAATTTGAACGAACTGCTTCGGCGAGTGCAATTTCAGCTTTTTGAAAAACTCACAAGTGCAAATTAATTTCAAGTTCAAAGATAAAACCGTATGATTACCTATTAATACAAACATGAAAAAATTCGCGTGTAGGAAGTGCCGGAAGATCTTTCTTGAAGCCATTTTTTCACGTTCGAGGAAACTTTTTTCAAAGTTTCCGCACACAATTTTCGCCATCATTTTATGTGATATCATTGGCTTAGAAAATTTGCTATTGTCTTTCAGCCAATCATAATCCAGATATTACGATGTGTAATTTTCACTGGTGTTACACTTTATTAACTGGTGTTACACTTGAACCGCACAACTCTCAGCCAATCATAATCGCGGAATCATTGTATTATGCTCATGGGCAAGATTCTTTAATCTCACAGTGCCTCTCTTCACCGAGCCGTATTAAGGGCTGCAAGGGATTTGTTAAACCTTACAAAGCATTTGCGAAGGAGCGGGGAAAACCTGGACGGAGTAACATGCCATTCGTAAGTCATTCTAATGTGCCGAAATGTTTCGCTGGAGTTTGTCAAGACCGTTGAACCTCGGTAAGTAGCACGCATGCACAAAACAAGTAACCGCTTAGCGGTGAACGCAGTCAAGTTTATTTCTTTACGCACAGAATTTGCGTCGGAAAAAGATCAGTTGAGCATTCTAGGACTCTAGGTTACATTTGCTTACAAATTAAGTTGAATGTTTAAAAGAAGAAAAAATAAAATAATCCTAATCTACTGTGGTCGTGGTATTTTTTTAAGCAGTAAATAAAAGGAATCTTAATTGTTAGTCGTGTGCTGATCCATTCTCCCCAGGCCTGTCGGCGGGATAATTAAACGGCGGATAGTACCCATGATGCATTTGGTAGTCACTTAACAAGAACCACGCCACTTCGTTTGGCTTCGCGCACGTTAACCAGCGAACAAAAATCGATTTCCATTTGGTCCTCGCCGGGCCGCTCAAATATTGACCAATCGGCAGACCATCGTTGCCGCTGAAATGAGCATTCAAACAATCCCGGATGTTTGCCAAGCACGGGTTCCCGCCAATGTAGATGACTTTTGAGTCCTGGGTGATTTCATAGACGCCTGGTAATCGAGTCGACTCTTGTTTGTCGTTGATGTCAAAGCTTCGTAAAGCAGTTGTCAATGGCCGGGCGTTTAAACGCTCTCGGTAATATTTCATGCTTTTCAAATCCTCTTCACTGGCCTCGTAGTCGTACGCGTCGACATAGGCCATCTCTAGATTAAAAGAAAACGCGGAAAAATTAAGGAAAAATAACATATTCCCTGACCATCTTGAGCGAAACAATTTGCCTTAATAAACTTCCTTACTCACATAGAAACTCGTGGAGTTTAAAATACTTACTTTTTATCCCTTCCTTGTGATAATAATATTACCGTACTTTCTCTGAGTGCTTCAAAAGTCCTACTTCGCAATTACGCCAGAAAAACGTTTTGGCAGTTATTTGCAGTACGTGATTTGAATTCCAATTCTTGAAGTCAGGAAAGTTTGCACGCGTCTCCGTTTGCCTGCGCGCGTTCGCTATGTCCTCCTAAGGTCCCGTGACACTACGCCGGAGAAATTTGACAACGGAGGTTTCACTCTGAAAACGCATCAAATGTTTTCCGCCCACACTACGCCGGAGGAGTTTAAAAACCCAAAAATAACCAGTCATTTAAGATTTGTGTTCGAGTAGATCTCGGGCACGGAAATCACATTATTTTCGTAATGTCATCGTTTTCGACAAGCTTCATTTTCAAAATGTTTTCCGTCCGCACTAAAACGCAAAGCTGGCGTTTTCATTTTCCATCGGTTTGAAGAGCGTTTTCGAAAAGCTCCGTTTAAGTGACGGATTAATGTAGACGGTAGGCCTAACCGTGGAAATAAAGCTGCGTTCTCAAATTTCTCCAGCGCAGTTTGGACGGGACCTAAGAATCAGAGATGTGTAGTGAAACGTTTGTAAAATATGTCATGTATCGGAATACTTTAAGGTTAAGTCTCCAATAAGCCACATAAGAAGAATTACAACGGTAAGTTTTTTCTCCTGGCGCTTAAATATCAGATAAACCCTTCTCTTCAACTCTTCTTCAAGGCTCAAAAAGCTTGTACTGTTGCATATATTAGTCACAGTGCGTATATTTTTACAAGTGGTAAAATTCCGGTGTAAAATTCCGGTGTATAAACGCCATGAGAATGCGAATCAGCTTACTTTAGCAAAGTTTATTTACTATTGAAACCAGTTGTTAGCTCTTAAAAGATTGTTAGGAAGTACACAATTTAAAACATAATTACGTCTGTACATTACAGGCTGTGATTTTCAAAGTAACTCAATGACAATAGGTTTGTAACAAAATATTTTTAAGTAACTCAACGACAATAGTCAGAATAAACTCGTTTCTGAACAATTCAAAAGCAATTCTGTGTAAGAAAGTCCTTTCTGAAGTAAGGTAGCTAGCAACAAAAGCGTGTGAAAAAAGTCCTTTGTAAGTCTCTCTTAATCAATCTTTTCCGCTTTCTTCTTTCGCGCAAACACTTCAACTCTTTTCCTGGAGGTGGAGTTCATTCCCTGCCGGGATTTAATCACGCAAATCAAAATGACAGCGAGGAACAATATCAGACCGAGCCACTCTCCATTAAGACTCAAGGTAAGAACAATCGCAAGAAAAGCGAGAGGTGGCAAAAAATAAAACATGAATGAATTTGTAGTTGTGGTGACTGCAACTTTGTCGACGTAATAGTTCCTGGTGGTTTGTAAGAAGTGCAGCAACTTGACTGTCTCATCGAGGTCCTGAAGCTCCGTGTTCACTTCTGATTGTGGAGAGAGCATCTTTATAACCTTGTCCACTCGCGTCGAAATCTCTTTGATGTAGAATGTCTTTTTAGTTTCTTGTTTCTCTATAAAGTCGAGCGTGGATTTCTCTAGTGATGGAGATCCGTGTTTCTGTAGAATACAAGCTTGCTCGTACGACTTTATAACTTCTGAAGTTAACCTTGCGATAGCAAAGCTGAGTTCTTTTCGCAGCTGGTTCACTTGGTATTTTTTAAGCTCCGTAATGTTTTCTTGGATCTCATTCACCTTGGCATTGTGAGTTGGTTTTACCGGGGGTGGTGGCGGGGGTGTTGGGATCACATGCTTGTCGATGTCATCCGTTTCGATTGCAGGCTTCTCGGAATCTTCATCGGATTCGCTGTTAGTCACTTCCGAGTTGACGGCGGTCTTTGTGTCTTCACTCTCCTGTGAGCTGGTCGTGTTAGATTCGCTCTTGACCGGCTCAAGATCTTCTGCCTCTAAGTAAGTTTCCTCTTCATCTGCCTGTAAGCTGCTGATGTTAGAATCTTCATCCGAAGCCTGAAAGCTACTTGTGTTTGAATCTTCATCCGCCTGTAAGCTGCTTGTGTTAGTATAGCTGTTCTCAAAGTCTAGTAGTTCTTTCTCATCACTTATCTTCTCGAACTTCTTCTCGCCTTCATCCCCCTTTGAATTTTTCTTTTCGAGCTTGATTTCTTTCCACTTTCCTTTTGCAACTTTTGACACCTCTCTTGCCACGCGTTTAGCATCTATTTTAGCTTGAGCGTGCATGGCCACCACAGTTTTTTGTATTTCGCTCCCCATACGATTACAGAAATGCTCTGGGTCGGGGTTGGCGAGAGCCTCAAGGACTAGTCGCCGTGATGACTTTGGTAACGCTTCTAGCTTTGCTTTAAAGCTTTCTTGCCCTGTATCGCCATGCTTGCTTTTGCCGCTTCTCTTTCGTTGTCTCTCTTCTCTCACTAGCGCAAAGGCCTGGTCTTTGAGTCCAACAACTACTTTAATAACTTTTGCTCCCCTGGTCTGCGCATATTCTGTTAGCTTCGGGACGAGATCTCTGCAATATTCTTTAATGTTTCCACTCTCTATTGCCCCTTTCACGTCCTCGTCAATGTTGTAACCATTTAGCAGTGACGTTTTCAGTAAAAACATCTGCATCTGATCTGAATTCAATTCGCTTTGTTCTTCCCAGCTTTCATCAGCGGGTGGTTGGGTGGCGGTTAAAGTTTCCGCTGAACTCAGGAAGCTCGGTTCCTCCAGACATTCGCTTTTGCCGTCTATCTCATTCTCCTTCGCTGCTTGCGATATTTCATCAACTTCACAACTTTCGCTCTGGAAAAATCCATTCAAACTACACTGTGGTGTGTCGAGAGACATTATACTCTGAAGGTGTGAACTTCGCCCCGGCTTTTCCCTTGTTTGTCCTTCAAAATTAAGTTTGATTGCTTACAACAAGAAAATGTAAAAAAAATCTCTTCGAGTTAGCAACAGAACAAAGTATTATGCACTCTGCGTGATTATGACCGTTACAAAAATGACGTCTTGTGTTCGAAATTGAACCACGACACACGCTGACGTACAATGCACTCAGCTGGTCCCTTTTGATTCTGCTGTACTGAGCCTAGAATACGCCGGAATTTCACCGTCAGTCTCTATTTACATCTAAATGCGACAAAGAACAAAAAAAATATCGCTTACTTGAACGATTCTTTTGGCTTGAGAGGACGGATCTAATTTCCAACACGCGCAACGTGCGCGCGCGAGTGATCGGTACCCCGCTGGCGACAGTGACTAGTTTTCATCTCATGCGTGTGAAAGAAAAGATTCGTGTACCGGGATAACAGTCCCTTACAGGAAAAAGAAAATTAAAGGTATCTCAACTTGCAACTTGCAACAAAAATTGCTTTATTTAGTTCCTTTAGATTCTTCGTAATTAAATTTTCAGATTTATAGTCTTTAAAAGTCAGTCAGAACATATTGAACCAGGGGTGAAAG